TGTTGAAGGGGTGTAAAGGAAACTTTCTTCCTTTGGCTTCAGAGATGCTGAGGTGCTGCACTCTTTGGGTCTTCCTCTGACTCCCTTCTTTTTTTTTTTTAGTATTTTATTTTTATTTTTCCCAAGTTTCATGTAAAAACAATTTTTAACATTCAGTTTTAAAACTGTGAGTTCCAGATTCTCTCCCTTCCTCTCGCCCCCCATTGAGAAGGCAAGCAGTTAGATATAGGTTATACATCTCCCACCTCTTTCTTTAAATTTTTTTTAATTCTGAATTTAACACACACACACACACACATACACACACACACACACAGAACATTTCCATATACAAAGCAGAAGAGAAAAAGAGGATTATATGTGAAAATATGAATCTCAATTACACCTTGCTTTTTAAAACAAAATTCATATATAATACATGTAATGTTATTTCAAAAACATCTTGGTTCTCTCTTTGCTTCTTAATTATTTTCAGTTCTCTTGTGTATATTTAAAAAATATGATCCAGTGATCTTTTTGTTCTTTTTTCTTTTTTGACAACCTTATCACAGGAAAAAACAATCATTGTGACTAATTAGACTGTGATATCCTTGAGAACAGGGATTGTCTTTTGCCTTTGTATCCCCATTGCTTAGCACAGTGCCTAGTGTATATATAGTTAAATGCTTAATAAATGCTTATTGACTGACTAGTGAAGCAAAACTAATCCACACACTGGTCATGTCTGAAAAAGTATGTCTCATTCTGTACCCTAAATTCATCACCTCTCTGTCAGAAGGTAGGTAGCAAGATTCATCATCAGTCCTCTTAAGTTAATGTTGGGTCATTCAAGTGATCAGAGTTCTTCAGTCTTTCAGAGCTGGTTTTTCCTTACAATGTTATTGTTACAGGGGAAAAATGATAAATAAATTACTCAACCATACTTTTAGGCTCAAGAGGATAAAATTAAATATATAGCAAAGAATCAAGTGGCAGGCTGAGTTTGGGTGACTTAAATGTGAATGTGGTTAGATCCCAATAACCCATACAACCTTGCAACATAGGTGTCATCTATCCCTTCCTTTTCCAATCTGATATTTTGCAGGTGTGTTTTCCTTTCCTTTCCTTTTCTTTTCTTTTTTAAAAATTATTTATTTATTTTTAGTTTTCAACATTCACTTCCATAAGATTTTGAGTTCCAAATTTTCTGCCCATATCTCCCCTCCCCACACCCCAAGATGGTGTGCAATTTGATACAAGCTCTACATATACATTCATATTGAATCTATTTTCACATTAGTCATGTTGTAAAGAAGAATTACAAACAATGGGAGAAACCACGAGAAAGAAGAAACAAACAAACAAAAAAAAGGAAAAAGAGAGAGCAAATAATATGCTTTGATCTGCATTCAGACTATAGTTCTTTTTCTGGATGTGGACAGCATTTTCCATCATAAGTCCTTTGGAATTGTTCCTTGTATTGCTGTGAAGAGCCAAGTCTATCAAAGTCAGTCATCCCACAATGTGGCTGTTACTGTGTACAGTGTTCTCCTGGTTTTGCTCACTTCACTCAGCATCAGTTCATTCAAGTCTTTTCAGGTTTTTCTAAAGTCTGCCTGCTCATCATTTCTTACAGCACAGTAGTATTCCATTACATTCATATACCACAACTTGTTCAGCCATTCCCCAACTGATGGGCATCCCCTTGATTTCCAATTCTTTGCCACCACAAAAAGAGGTGCCATAAATATTTTTGTACATGTGGGTCCTTTTCCCATTTGTATGATCTCTTTGAGATACAGACCTAGAAGTGGTATTGCTGGGTCAGAGGGTATGCACAGTTTTGTAGTCCTTTGGGCATAGTTCCAAATTGCTCTCCAGAATGGTTGGATCAGTTCACGTGGGTGTGTTTTTCAAAACCTGCTACATAAGTAACTATTGCAGTAAGACTGATGAGGTCCCTGTACTCACTGGTATATCACCCTAACCTTGCTACTTGGCTTGTTTTCATTCTTAATTTTATCATCCTGAGCCCTGGAGTGATCCTGAGGTATGTTTGGATATTTCATTTCTAAACAAAACAAAAACCAATGTTGTTGTTACTGTATCGATTATTCCTCTGGTTATGCTTACTTCCCTTTGTATCTGTTCATACAATTCTTCCCAGGCTTCTCTGAAACCTCAATCATTTCTCAAGGTCAAGTAATTTACTCTCCTAACTCTGTCATCTTTCTTTCTCTGCCTCTGTGGGTTCTTCATCCTCTTCATGCTCCCTTTATGTGTACATCCCAAAGTTCGGTTCTCAGCCCTTTTCTCCATCTCTACTGTCTAGTTAGATAATCTCACTTACTCCCTTGAATCTCTATCTCCAGTTCTGGCCTTTCTCTCAAGCTTCAGACCCACGTTTCCACCTGATCACAGTGCATCTCCGTATATATCCTACTGGCCTCTGAAATCCAACAATGAGATAGTCCTTTTCCTCTAATAACTGCCCCCAGTGTGATATAGTGGATAAAAATCTGTCCTTGAGCCCTTGAGGAGGTGGGGAGCGGAGCTGGGGGAGCAGGCTTTGGAGCTGAAAACAACCTTCACCTGCTTCACTGCTTTGACCTGGGGACTATCCTTGAAATTGCTCCCATTGCTCCATCTCTTCAGTCATTTCTGGAGTTTCTCTATTTTCTTTCTTTTTCTCCATTGTCCTTCTGACACTGTGGCACTCAAACAGGATGGGGATCAGGAGGTCTCTGCCATTTATTAGCTAAGTGACCTTCACTTGATTTATCTGAGCCTCAGCTGTAAAACGAGGGGATTAGATTAAATGGTCCCTAAAGTCTTTTCCTGGTTTAAGATTAAAAGCCGAATTCCTTCGACGAATATTCAAGGATACAGAGATTTAAGGCTCTCCACATTCTGGTCCCAACCTACCTCCCTAAACATCTTTCACACTACTTTCTTCATTTCTTACCTAGTTATATTTCTCACCTAACTCTATACTATGCTTCAGGAACTTCATCATCTTGTAAGATACCTCAACCCTGGAACTCACATCTCATCAGTAGCCCATGCTCCTCAAGCACCCCCTGATTAGAGAGGGTGGAGATGGAGAGCTCTTCCCAGGAACTCCATTTAAGGAGGAAGAGCAGGCCAGCCATCTCTTCCTTTCCTCCCCAGCCAGACTTGGCCATCATGCCTCCCTTCGGTTTTCATCTTCCTTTTGTATATTGTCTTCTGCCATTAGATTGTAAGTTTGAGGTAGGGACTTTCTTTCTTTCGTTCTTTCTTTCTTTCTTTCTTTCTTTCTTTCTTTCTTTCTTTCTTTC